AAAAAAGAAATCGAGTATGGGACGCCAATTAAATTAGGTATGGTGCGCACTAAGTGCAATAAAGAGTGAGTAACCTAAAATTAGGGCCTGGAACCCAGGCTAAAACTGAGGACGCCCTTCAAAAGAACGTACTAGAGTTCCTATAGAGAGAGTTGTGACGTGTTACTGTTCCGCCATATTGGGTCCACACAACCTAATCAGTGGTGCGTAACCAACAACAAATAAGATAATCCTTGAGGCTAAATTCTTGACATCATGTTATAAAAAAAATTCATAACTCACATTATTTTTGCTGGAAAATTTTCTTAAAAGACTATTCTACAACAAACTGTGTGATTGAAAAAAAAAATGAAAATTTGTTTCGACCTTGGAATCAAGATGGGAAAAGAAGAGCCTATCTAAATGTTGTATTAAAAGGAATCTATACAGTACGACGTGCGCAGTACTACCTAGCTAGCAGTAAGTAGGCCTACTGTTTTAGTTGCCGTATGACTTACGAATTTCTCTTATTATATACTACAAGTTATTTTAGTAGAGATACCCTGGGACTTGGACCCTACCTAGAGGCTTTCTTAAACACCCGTTTATTATTCGAAGTTGTCCTGTGCGTAATTAAGAGGCCTAGGCCTAGTCGCCTACTATTTTTGGAACAGACGCGATGTTGTACGTCTAGCTAAGCAAAAACTACATGTATTATAATAATTATTTATAGCCTATTGAGAATCAATTTCTTTTTGCATTTTGTTATAAATTTCAAACACGCATTAATTAACAGATTATCAAATGACATAACATTTTCTTATTAATATTTTTATTTTTTCAATTGCCTGTTATTTATGCAATCGCCACACTGTAGAATAGGCATTGTGTTCATTCATGCATAAAAGGACCCAATATGGAGTCCCATAAGCGGCTCATGTTCGTATCGAACGCGTGCTCACATTTCGAACTCTATTTAAATGTTAATAGAACGCCCCCTACATTTGTGATAGTACCGGTACTTTTTTCGTTTTGCATGTATGCGAAATAAGGGCAATTGGACCTCTTACTATTTTATACTCTGATAAACATTTGAAGGCGAAATTCACTGTTTAGTTTGTGTATTTTTTGAGCTACCAAAAAGCAAATTACCAAATATTTCATAGAAGAAAGAGCAATCATGAAGGACTACATCCGATATAATGTTGACGAAGCCAAAATTAAGAATAACACAAATAGGCCTATATGTTAATATGGGGTGAATTGATAAAAATCAAACTTAATTTAGAGCTGGAAAACTTACGTCAATTGATTCATGTAATGTCACGGAATGTATTTTGATTAAAGGTGGTAATGCATGCGGGCTATCAAGTTGTCAAAATGGCGGAACGTGCGTCCCTTCATACATCCCATACGGAGTACCTACTTGCCAATGCCGTGAATGTTACTCGGGTCAATACTGTAATATATGTAAGTTTTTTTTTGTGTATTTTGGCTCCAGCAGCCCCTGCTGGGTTTAGAAACAAAAGTAGCTAGGCTAGTCCACGCATTGAGTGCTTTGAGACTGTATAATACATTATATATGCCTATTTAATATTAATATATATTATATATTTATGTACGTAACATTATTACATTACATTTAACTGTTTCAATTCGTTTCGAAATCGCATAAAATGTTTTCCCTGACGGCCTATCACTCATGCAACATTTTGACTAGTAAATCGTTGTTTTCATTATAAAATTCTGGCTGCAAATTTGGTATATATTTATAATGAACTACATTTTTTCTAAAAATATTGTAACAATGAATACTGTTTTCAATAACAATGGTAAAATTGATGGTTTGGTCCGTTGCATACAAGCACTCAAATGTTATTAAGGTGAAGTATTCATACATAGGAGTTTTTTATATATATATTTTTAGCTCCGATGAGCTCTAGAAACACTCGATTGATTGATTGATTAATACATCTTTTTCAGCCCTACTGTCTATATTATACTGACCTCATGAGGAGGATAGATTAATATTTGATTGATTAATATATTTTAAATTATTTACTGCCTCCATTATACTGCCCTCAACGGAGCTTTCGAGATTCCGAGAACTTGTTTGGTTACACATTTTGTTATAGATTACAATCCATGTAATGGAGTTTACTGCTTTAATGGTGGGACATGCGTTGAATATTCAATCAATGGCCAATGTAAATCAAAATGCCTGTGTAGAGATGGATACATTGGAGATCGTTGCGAGATTGGTGAGTGAGTTTGTGTATTTTTTGGAACAGCTAGTGAATTTATTTGTTATTATAGATAATTATAATAATACCATCTAAAGTAAAAGCTGGACTAAGAGGCTACAACAACTACACTAACATAATGCCTGTGTATTATGATCATAACTATCGTTTGTTTAATGAAATCATAGATAATGTAAATTAGTGATCCAATATTTGTGTCACACGTTTGTCTAACTCTAAACAGTAACAGCACATATGCAAGAATTTGCAAGCAAAATTAAGTTTCTGGTACTTGAGGCTCCAAATTTTAATGCTAATAAAAAAAACAAATGGGTATAGCTTATATTTATTGGGCCTAGACAAGTTTAGTCCACAATAATGTTCAAATGCTGGTAAATGATTACAAAGGTGAACAAAGCGATAAGATTATTGCATAATAATAGGGTTCAATTCAGATAAATTGTGGATCGAGATCTCACCATAAAAAAATAGAACAGTTTTTTCTATGATCTCACAAAACTATTTATGTATGCTGCGATACCATTCTGTGGGTGAATTATTCTCGCACACATGTAGGCCTATAACATTATGCATACCGTAAACTACAACACACCAATTGTACATCTATTTTAATCTTTATACTGTGGCATTTTTTATTTGAGACAAACATGCTAACGACTCATTTATTTTTTATTCAGCCAACAATCCGTGTGAAAACCATTTGTGTAAAAACGGCGGAACGTGTGCTTTAAGCAGTCAGGATGCAATAGGGTACATATGCTTTTGTAAGGATTGCTACTCAGGAACATTTTGTGAAACTTGTAAGTATATGATTTGAAAGAATTTAAAGAGGACCGGGCTAACACCTGATTAGCCGACTGAGCTAAGCTACTCTGTATAATATAAGAAACGTTTTTCTAAAATGTATTTTTTTAAATCATTTTAGATACTGATCCATGTGACGATGTCACGTGTCTGATCGGGACGTGCGTACCTGATCCTACAGTTGGAGAATGTGGATTCAACTGTGAATGCGATCCATGTTTCACAGGAACATTATGCGACACTCGTAAGAAAATTATTCTCCAGAGGTTTCCAAGGAAAAATATTTTTGTCACTATTGTAGTCCTTATCATTATTACCGTTATCATCACGGTAATATGCCTGTGTGTTGTATAGTACATATTGCATAATATTACAGAAACGCTCTCTGTAAAAGGAACCATGGAGTGCCACTGCCCAGTGGCACTCCAGTATAGAAAGCCGTTTTATCAGTTACCTCTAAATTACAGTTAGGTGGAATGCATTTCTTTTAACTGCAAATCGTTCGTGCCTAACATGTAATACGTTGCAATTTCACTTAAATGCAATTCATTTGCAGTTAAGTTGAATAAATTTGCACTTAACTTGGATGTTTGGTGATTAGAAATACAGACCTTTACGTAACTAACTAATCACATTAGGCCCTACACATTAACCATTAAAGTCTAAAGTTTAGCTTTTCTTGTTTTTTTGTTTTTTTGTTTTTTACCTGTAAATGTTGGGAAAGAAAGAAAGGGTTGGCCTTTTTAAAGTAATTTTTCGAGTTTTTTTTGTCTAATATTACCTGTTTAATATTGAATTGTTTTATTCAGCACTGGATGCGTGTTCACCAAATCCTTGTTTGAATGATGGAACGTGTAGTTTTGATGCGTCTAACGGGCAATGCTTTTCATGTACTTGTCCAACATGTTATACAGGGGATATATGCGAGACGTGTAAGTTTTTACAAGCTGTAACATACGGTATTTCATAAACTTTAAATTTTAAGTGCATCAGTAAACATGTTTCATCTGAGTCAAAATCTAGTCATTTGTAAAGGTATGTTATATTAATGTCTGTTTTTACCTTTCCTGTTACAAAAAAAAAATACACTTCAAATTGCTCGTTTCGTCCATTTTTTGATAGGCCTTCTAAAATCATAAATAATCCAAAGCTACAAATTAGGTCAATTGTAGGCCTAATTTACATTTCAACGTCTCGTGGATCACATTGGGCAATATATCTTCAATATTTTAATTGTCTGGCCTCAGCCTGAAAATACTGTATGAAATCTATCGTAGGACGGCCGGGACTAAAACAAAAAACAAGTATGAACTGGAAAATTGAGGCGTTGTGGGTGTGAAGAAAAATAAAACAAGTAATAAATTTTACTTTTCTTTTCTAAGATAATGATCCTTGTTCCAGCTTTTCAGCCTTTTGTGGCCCCGGTGCCACATGCATACCTGATACCGACAATGGGCAATGCAGTTCAGATTGTGTGTGCGACAATCCTTGCTACTATGGGTTTTCCTGTATTTTCTGTAAGAAAAACTATCAATGCATAATATATAAAACTTCTGACAGTATATAATATATAATAGTATTATTTACCATAAATGAATTAAATATGAATTATAGAGATGCTTTCTGTTTATCATTTTAGTTTATAATCCGTGTAGTTCGGATCCTTGTGGTTTGGCTGCATCATGTAGTATCGATACATCAGGAGGACAATGCGGGTATTCATGTGGGACTTGTCAAGCTTGCTACACCGGTCCTAACTGTGAAATTCGTAAGTAAACACTATCATGTTCTATAACAATGTGTTATCTTAATCCTTCATTGTTAGTGTATTTTTTTTCATAATCATAGTGTATGCATATATTAGAACTGAAAAGGCTCAAGATACAAGATGCAAGATAAAATTTATTGACTTCAGTTATAAAATAAACGAAGAAATTACAATGCTTGCAAAAGAACAATTCCAAGAAATCACATTAGAATTTGTCAAGGAAAAAAAAGAATCAACATCAAAATGTCATCGAAAAGCACAGAAAAATTTTAAATTAAGAGACTTCGTTCTCTCTTCGCTCTGCGTAGTTCAAAGCGTACATGGGTAAATATATAGGTGTTCTTATATTTTGCTCAGAAAGTCAAGAAACCAATGCTTGTATAATAAAAAAAAAAGTAGAAAAGTTATATTAAAAATTAAATTAATAAAACTTATAGGCCTATATTAAATTTTATTACCTTATTTTTTTTATTTTTTTTTTCATTTTGTTACATTTAATTAACGGTATTGTTTTTATTTATATTTATGTTTATATATATATATATATATATATATATATATATGTATATATATATAGGCCTGTATACACTTAAGTTTTTATTATCTTTTTCTAAATTTGTTAAGTGTAATCTTTTAAGCTATAGCCTCAAATTCTTAATCGTTTTTTCCCTAGGTTGCATATGCCTAAGTGTCTTCGGACCTATACAGGCCTCCTTTCATTTTTCAATAAATGTAACTTTTTTTCTTCTGAAATGTAAATAAAACGTATTAATAATAATGAATAAAAACGAAACGAAGTCTGGTACGTTACTGTTACAAAACTTACTGTACATCCTAATATGTCTTAATATCTATAGCTATATCTCCTTGTACACCGAATCCATGCGACAATGGCGGGATATGTAATCTTGACTTAACTGATGGATGTGCCTTTAAATGTACTTGTCAAGGATGCTACTCTGGCGACACCTGTACAATATGTAAGAAAAAAACCTTTCTGTATAGGTATAGTGTACACGGCTATAGTACATTATATCAGTATAATTGCACCTTTATTTTATACGCTTTATCACTTTGATATCAAGTTTGGTGACAGTAAAATGTAAAATAGGCTTCAACCGGGGCATATCTTAGTTTTGTAGTTCAGAGATTTTGGAGTATGCCTGACCAATTATGAGATTTATAATGTTTCTATCTATACATTTAATTTTTATAAGCATTTAGCCTGGTATATGGTCACAACGTGGTGATAATATATCAGTGTATTCACATAGGCATATATATATATATATATATGTATGTATATATGTATACATATACATATACATATATATGTATATATATGTGTATATGTATAGTTATATATATATATAGTTTAGTTGGTGAAGTCGATCGTATAATCGGCCGATGTCCTGGCTAATAATAAGTAAAACGTTATATTGGTAGGACTGGGGGAATTTAAGACAAAGTTTAATAACCACAAAAATCATTCAATAACAAATCATATGAAAAGGAATCTAAATTGTCTAAATATGTGTGGAAATACCAATTGAAAATACCAAATTTAAAATAGAGTGGAACATAGTAAAACGCTCATCAGTAAAAAGCCCAGCGTTTGGTAATAGCAAACTTTGCATGGACAAAAATTAGCTATCCTTAATGCTAATAAGACAGTCCTACTTAATAAAAGATCAAAACTGGTATCTAAATATAGGCATACAAAATTTCCACCAGATTGCGGCTAATATGCAAAACACCTTTGTATGTAAGAGAGTAGTATGTGCTAATCAGTCTACCTGTGGATCGTGATAGCGTGAAACGTCCGTTATAGACTCCCATCCATCTATGTCCAGATA